TAAAAATTGGACTAATTGGGTTGGTAGAGGTTGAACCATTGAATAACTTTAGAATACATTATATTTTTGCCAATGATGTTCATTTGTTTTACTTGATGGCCAAATCCCGTGTAGGTCAGGCCCATTCAACTCTTTTATTTTATGGTTAGCGGTTACCCCATTAGATACCATGCATTAGTTTATTGTTAAATTTTATATTTTTAGCAATAAAAAGGAGTATTGTTTTTGCCTTTTCATATATATTTGATCACCATGGAGAAATAAAAGAGCTTAAAGAAAAAAATTGACACTCCTGGACCCATTTAAATCCGCATGTGTACGGTAAGTTGGCCCGTTCCACAGAGGAAAAAGATAAAAATTGACATTTCCTATTCTACCCTTTCTACAAACGCTTCTGGAGCAGAGAATTTGAAATGGGGGAGAGTTTTTTCCTCCCTGCTATTATATATTTTTAATTTAAAAAGATACAACAAATGTACTTAGTGTGATTGGTTATGATCGTTGTTTTTCTTTAAAATGGTCATGGTTCGAATCCCAGTACGTGTCTTTTTAATGAATAAAGAAAAGTAATTGTGACTTTTTAATGAATAAAAAAAAGTAATTGTGAATACCAAAATGTTCTTCCTACTTTCATTCTCGTTGCAGGAAATTTGAAATGGGGCTCCCGTTTTTCTCTTCGGTGTATTATAGTATGTGTAGATTCGGTGGAGTCAAAAGACTCTTCATCACCACTAAAAAAATGACTCTTTCATTAAAATAGCTAATTTTAAAATCCCACGTCCAGCCAAAAAAAAAAAGAGTGCTCAATTAGAGGGAAAATAAAATGAGCGCTCAAGCTCCCACCAGCATGCAGCCCACAATTGCTATGGAGGCAGAATTCAATAGATGTAGAGGCAAATTTTATATTTGTTGTATCTAGACAATTTCTAGCGGCAAGTAATAGTATGTGTAGAGGCAAATTCAATATATGTTGTTTAAAAGATATTTTTAGAGGCAATTAAAATTTTTGCCTCAATTATTAGTCATTATAGGTTAGTTTTGTTGTAGTGAGAATTGTACCGGATGTTGAATCGGAAAAGTTAGTAATTGATGATTTTATGGTTTAACTGTTATAGAACCGTTGGTTAGCTTTTGACAGAACCGTTCATGCACTATAACATAAAATACATATATAATGCTCTAATTTAGGAGCGAAACAATCACTGACTATAAACAAGTTCAAATTCATATCGTCTATCACCAAAAAGTTCTAACAAAGTATTCAAACTATCTCCCAAGTGAAATCATATTTTTTATATTTAATTCAAGTTAGTAACCAGGATGGCAATTTGTAGTGGACAACATAAATCTGATAAGAAGGCTGGGAAATGAAGTAAAGGGAAGTATAAATAAAATTAGTGCTTGAGGTTGGATGATCTTAGCTTAAGTTAAAGTAGTTTTTTCTTAATTTTTGGTGGTCAAAATTGTGCACCCATCAAATCTGGGTGGTTCATCTGGTTTCGTGTCCAACTGTCATAAATCGTTGGATCCATTGTTAACTGTTTAATCAAATGCATCGAGACAGTAGTTCTACTCGTACAACCATTGATTGGTTGGGTTGTTATACGAATGGCTGGAATCTTTTTAACCTTGAAATAATAATAATAATAATAATAATAATAATAATAATAATAATAATAATATGCAAATTCATCCAGCAATTAATTAAAGCAGCCACCTTTGGGCACCCTTAACGATCAGATCATCACCAAAGCCGAAGCATAGGAGGTAAATCGTTTACGTACCTCGCTCACTCTCTCTCCTTTCTGTCCCCCAAACAATGAATTAAGGGTTAATACCTTGTTATGGTCTGAACTATGACCATGTAATCAACTTTGGCCAGTGGTTTGAGAAATTAACATTCTGGCTCGAACTATGCAGCATATAGACAAAATTGGCCTGGAGCGTGGTTTGACCGTTTGTTTGGACGGTCAACACCGTTGACCGTTAGTCAACTGTCCAGGTCACTGTCATGTCAACATAAAACATTTATAATTTCATTTTTCTTTTTATTTCATTTACAAAAATTGAATAAACAAAATTTATAAACTTATTATTTACAATTTAAACAAAAAATAATAAAAAATAATATTTGAAATTTTCCCTTATCCTCTCTCTCTCCTCACTCGGACCACACATGACACAACCCTCATCCCTTTCCTCTCTCTCAAGCTTGCGGCCGCCCTCTTCCCAAACTCTCTCCCTCCATCAAACCCAGCTCTTCGGCTCCATCCCAAATTTACCAACCTCTCATTCCTCCACCAGCTTTACCTTAGTTCCAAATTCACTTCCATCTCACTTAATTTCTTTCATGGCCTCACCAGTCTCCGGATCTTCTCCATCAGCGACAACCTCCATCTCTCCCCATGGCCAATCCCTCCCGATATCAAGGATACGAACCCAAACTCCGGCCGCAACCCTCCATCCATGAATTTACACTGGATCACAAGGTCTTCAATTCTCTGCATACACCCAATGAACCAAAGACACAGAGAAGGGTTTTAATTTAAAGCCCGAGAAACCCCGATGGCCGAAAGAGGTAAAATGAAAACGAGCGCCGCCGTTTGATGAGTGTATCGTCGACCGTCACCGCCGTCACCGCCGCCGCCTCATACTCGCCTTAAACCCCCACCACCAGCGTCGATGTCGCCAAGTCATGACCGTCGGTCGCTACGGCGCATCGACCCCTTTCTCTATGGGTCGCACCACCACTAGTCAATCGGGGAGAGAGATCGGGCAAGAAGTCGCCATCGCCAGCTCTTTCCCTGTTGAATCGGCTACGAGATTCAGTGGCGGATCTTGTGATGGATGGTCGGCGAAGGAGCATTGGGAAAGGAATGGGACTGTGTGGGTAGATTGAGGAGAGAGACGGGGGAATATTTAAAAAAAAAATGTTCAGTTTATCTTTTAAATTTTATTTTAGTACATTATTAATTTTTTTATTTTTTATTAATGTTTATTTTCCATGTGGCGTCCACGTCAGCATAACATGCTGATTCATTAACGGTCAATGATGTTGACCGTCTAATTTGACGGAAATTCACGACTCGGGCCAATTTTGTCTATATGCTGCATAGTTCAGGCCAGGATGTTAATTTCTCAAATCACTGGCCAAAGTTGATTACATGGTCATAATTAGGGCTGGCAATTTGGACCGGGACCGGATGGAAAACCGGAAACCGGATCGTAAAACCCGGACCGTTTTAAGACCGAGACCGGATGTAAAACAATCCAATCCCGTCTTTGATCTCAGAATTAGCAAAAAAACCGGACCAATCCAGTCCGGGTCAAAACCGTGTAAAAACTGAAAGACCGGATAAATAAAAACAAATCAGACCAGAGACAATTCTGACCCAAAGCCAAAGCCCATAAGGGCCCAAATAAACCCACTACCCGGCGGCCCATAGGAGCCCATTGTTAGTTTTAGGGTTGGCTGGAGAGTGGAGACGCAGCCGCTCTGCCTCTCGTGTGTCTCTCTGCCTCTGCCACTCCATCTTCATTCGCCGCTCCATCTTCATCCGTCGAACAAAGCAGCCGCCGCCAGCAGATTGTCGCCCGCCGCCCGAAGCCCGCCGCACACAGTCCGACTCCGCGGCCCGCGCCAACCCGACTCCGCGCCGACCCAGCGACGACCCCGACCCGCCTCCGCGCCGACCCAGCGAACAGCGACGACCCCGACCCGCCTCCTTGCCGACCCAGCGACGACGGCATCAGCCTCGACCCAGCCCCAACGCGACGCCGACTCAACTTCGAGTCTCCGACCATCGAACGCGACGCCGGCTCTGTCGCAGCCTCGTCGCCCTCCCGCAGCCTCATCGCCGTCCGTCGACTTTTGGGAACAGCTGCCGAACTCATAAAAATGGAAGGGAGCAGCAGCTGGGTAAGTATCAGGGTTGCTGGGTAATTATTTATTTTATTTTATTTTATTTTAATGCCCTCCATCATATATGATCAATTAGGAATTAGCTTGCTAGGAATGATCTATGTCTCGCATCACAAGCACATACATTTACATGAAGCTAGCTAGCTAGCGGAATATGCGAAAACCCAGTACCTGTGAAATGAGCAATATATATATACGTCTAGTAGAATGGTAATACAAGAAACAAAGACCAATCTAGCTAGCAAGGATTATACTGTCGAGAGAGAGATGTGGTCAGTTTTGCCAACAGAAACATCAACCATTATTTCCTTATAGTCTAAAAGAATTGCTGCATTTGAATGGTGGAATGTGATATACCAGGGGTGGATGAGTTTATTTTTATTTTGAAGTTTGAATTCGACTTTGAGTTTGAAATAGACATGAATGATGGTTGTGATTTTGTATTGGACTATGTTTGGCTTGATTTTTGCTACAAACAGGTTGTCTACATTCCAGGAAAATGGGTATATGCTGCTGAATTTTATGCAACATGATCAAAATGGGTCAAAACAGGTCAAAACCGGATTGGGACCGGACCGGGTCAAAACCGGACCGTGTCAAAACCGGACTGTACCCAATCCAAGTTTTGGTCCCCATATTTCCAAAAAGACCGGACTGGACCGGATCAATTCGGGCCAATTTAACCGGACCGGACCGTATCGCCACCCCTAGTCATAATAAGGCCATAATAAGGTATTAACCATTGATTGGTTGGGTTGTTATACGAATGGCTGGAATCTTTTTAACCTTGAAATAATAATAATAATAATAATATAATAATAATAATAATAATTTATTGATGAAAATTCATCCAGCAATTAATTACAAGCAGCCACCTTTGGGCACCCTTAACGATCGGATCATCACCAAAGCCGAAGCATAGGAGGTAAATCGTTCACGTACCTCGCTCACTCTCTCTCCTTTCTGTCCCCCAAACAATGAATTAACGATGAACCCTTAAGATTAAAAAAAAAAAAAGGAGAAAACTAAAAGGGTTCTCTTCTCCCTCGCCTCTCTCTTCTCTTCTCTCTCTAGTGCAATGGCAGCAGCAGGGGGCAAGAAAGAACGGCGACCATCGTCGCTGTCGTCGACAGGGATTGCGCTGGACAGCGTGGAGATCGACAAGATGGCTGACGTGCCAATCAACGACACGCCGCCGAGCAAGCCACACCTTCCCAGAATGTCGGTGGACCTCGGCAAGTCCTCCGCCGGTGGGTTCGGGCGCACGGCCAGCAATTTCGGGCAGTCGTTTCGGAGGACCACCAGCAACTTCGGCAACTTCGGGATGTCTTTCCGGCGGACCACCAGCAGCGCGCTCAAGGGGATCCTGACCGGCGGCGGGGGCAAGACGAGCACCGCCGCCGGGAGGCAGCAGCGGGTGCAGAGGACGGCGTCTTCCGCCGCCAGGGGGCTGCAGTCCCTCAGGTTTCTCGACCGGACGACCACCGGCAGGGAGACGGATGCTTGGCGGGCGATCGAGAGGCGCTTTGATCAGTACGCCGTCGACGGGCTGCTGGCGAAGGAGCACTTCGCCGTCTGCATTGGTACTCGATCATCCGTAAATATTATTCCTTTTTTTTTTTGAACTTTTATCTTTTACGCAACGTGGATTGATATGACTGGTTGCAGGAATGGCGGATTCGACGGAATTCGCGTCGGAGTTGTTCGAGGCGATTGCGAGGCGGAAGTTCATACCGACGGCCAATGGTATAACGAAAGGTCAATTGAAGGTGTTTTGGGAAGACATGACCAAACAAGACCTTGATGCTCGTCTCCAGATTTTCTTCGACATGTATACTATCTTATCTTATCATTGCTAACCACCATTGGAAACATGAAATCAATTGAAACAGATATTAACGAAAACCTAGCAGCTGCATGCATGCATGCACCTCAAATGTTTGCAATTTATTATCGTTATCAAACTTATTTTGTTAAACTATGTATTGATACGAGTTTTAACAAATTTCGTCGTATTTCTTAACGTTTTAAGTCTGCATTATCATGTTATCGAATTCCTTTTCCAATATATATTCTCTTTTTAATTTGCGCAGCGTTTCTTATGTGTTCTGTTGTAGACGTTTGAAACTATAATCCGATCCTTTATGATCATTTCTCTCCCACCCTCCACCTTACACCTTTCATTGAGATTATTCTTACTATTATAATAATGGTTTGATAATGAGTATTCTTGGTCGTCTCACTTGTTTTAATTACCTTGCATTCCTTTTCAGGTGTGACAAGAACGGAGATGGTAAACTTTCTGAAAATGAAGTTAAAGAGGTGAGAAGAAACTAAGTGAAGAGATCAAATAAAAAACTTATCATCCAAATGAGAATACTACATTGTTACCATGATATTATTTAGGGCTAATTCCACTGGGAAGTCCAAACTATCTAAAAAGTGTTATTTGTGTTCTAAACTATTCAATATGACAAATCTAGCACAAACTATATGCGTTTTGTTACATTTGTGTCCTAAACTATTCAATTTGACAAATCTGGCCCAAACCAGATAAAAACTGTCTACATTTTATGTGATCTACTAATGGTCAATGTCGGTCAAAATTAACAAAAAAATAGTTCGCTCCAAATTTGTCTTATTTAATAGTTTAGAACACAAATGACACTTTTTGAATAGTTTGAACGTAGAATTAGCCTATTATTTATTACCCACTTTTATACATGGATATCAACCACATATACGAAGTGTATCAGCCAAATTATGTTATATACGACGTGAATTAATGTTATGTTTGTAGTTGACAATTTCTTGAAAATCAAACAAAAAAAATCATCCAGGTCATCCTCATGAGCGCATCGGCCAACAAGTTGACCAACCTAAAAGAGAACGCAGCCAAGTACGCAGCCCTAATCATGGACGAGATGGACCCGGACCACAAGGGCTACATCGAGATCTGGCAGCTGGAGGCCCTCCTCTGCGGGATGGTCAACCAAGACGCCTCCGCCGAGGCCAGCACCAAGATGAACCGCCACGCCAAATCCCTGGCCCGGGCCATGATCCCCAGCCGCTACCGCTCCCCCGTGGGCCGCTTCTTCACCCACGCCGCCGAGTACGTCCACGAGAACTGGAAGATCATCTGGATCCTGGCCCTGTGGGCCGCCGTCAACGCCTACCTCTTCCAGTGGAAATTCTTCGCCTTCGTCGGCACCCCGCTCTTCCAGATCTCCGGCTACTGCCTCTGCATCGCCAAGGCCACCGCCGAGACCATCAAGTTCAACATGGCGCTCATCCTCGTCCCGGTCTGCCGCCGGACCCTCACCTCCCTCCGGTCCACGGTACTGGGCCGGCTCATCCCGTTCGACGACAACATCAACTTCCACAAGGTCATCTCCGTCGCCGTGGCCGTCGCGTCCCTGGCCCACACGGTGGCCCACGTGGCGTGCAACTACCCGCTCCTGGCGTCGTGCCCTAGGGCCAGGTTCGAGTCCCTGGTGGGGAGCGCGTTCGGGCACCGGCAGCCCACGTACGGCGGACTGATGGAGCATTCCATAAGCGTGACTGGGGTGCTGATGGATTTGATCATGGCCTTCTCGTTCACGCTGGCGACGCACTCGTTTCGGAGGAACGTGGTGAAGCTCCCGGGGATGTTTCACAACTTGGCCGGATTCAATGCGTTTTGGTACGCTCACCATTTGCTTGCCGTGGCCTATGTTTTGCTCTTCTTGCATGGTTGGTTCTTGCTCACCGACAAGCCTTGGTACCAGAAGACGGTACGTACGTAACCAGTAATGATTATTAAGAGCTTAATTCCCTGTTACGAGCACGCTAAAAACGACGCCATGTCGATAAATGTAGGAGAGCAATTGTGGTGAACTGGTGATTACATTAACTAATGGTTTAGTAATAGCAAATTGGGTATAAAAAATAAATTTAATAATTTATTTTTTTTAATAAATTACATTTTAGGAAGTTACAAATAAAACATATTAATTACAATTTTCTCTCTCTTTCTCTCGCTTCTGCAATCTCCAGTTATATCTCTCTCCCAACTTTTTCTCAATCTTTTTCTTGTTTCCGTTCTGTCAAAATAATATCACTACAAAAATAAAAACAAAAGATCAATATCAATACATTTGACATCTACTATCACTTTGGAAAACACCAATACCATTACAGAATTAAATTAATATTATTATGAAAATAATACCATTACACTAAAACTACCAATATAAACAATCTATGTCATTACAATAGTCAAAATTAATATCAAAATCAACCAATACCACTACTATCATGAAATCAAAACAATATCATTGCATAAATAAATCAATATCATTATGAAAAACAAAAATATACCATTTTATAAAAAAACAATGAGCCAGTACCAAAACAAACAAACAAACAAAAAATAGATCTTAAATCCGCTTGAAGGTTGTCGGCTCCTCATCGTTGGGTAGTGGGAAAGAGGAGGGAAAGAGATAAGGGGAGAAGGGTATGCTGTGGAGGGGAGGGGAGGGGAGGGGAAGGGAGGGAAGGAGGGGTGGAGAGGCGGCGGTGGAGTGGAGTGGAGTGGGGAGAGTGGGAGGAGGGAAGAGATGGGTTGCTCTTCATGCAGCCGGGGAGGATGGCCGGCGAGAGCCACGAGGGGAGGAGAGGGAGGGCGGCAGTTTCTTGTTGGGGAAACATGAAGATGGATGAGTTTTAGGGTTTGGGAAGAGGAAGTAGATAGTAAGTTATAAATTTAGGTAATAATTTGACGTGTTAATATTATTATTATTATTACAAAATAATCCTTAATCTAATCTTGATCTTTCTTTAAAAAAAAGGAAAAATAGAGTTAATTAAGGGTGAGGCAGCATGATTACTCAAAATTGTGTAACCACGCTAATCCATTCCTTATATATAGGGGTAGTTTGGATAGGAATTTGGATGTAGGATTTTCACCGCAATTCCACATAATGTGAGATTTTGACAAAACAACACATTCGGATGGACGCGTGATTCTGTGTCCATGTGAGAAATTTTGAAATCCCTCGGTTCTGGGTTTTTGAAATATCTGCCTCGAATTTTTAAAAATTTCTCATTTCATTTTTATTTCTTCCAAATCTAACCATGATAAATTTTTTTACAACCAAAATTACCCTCATCACCAAGTAGTTTATTATGCTTGTCCTACTTCCAAATTGGTGTCTTATTAATAACTTTATATCACAATCTTTTGAATGGTTTTCTTTTACGTGGATGCAGACATGGATGTACATTTGTGGTCCAGTAACCCTGTATGCTTTAGAAAGAGTGTTTTTGTCGTACAGAGAGCGCACAGAACCGGTCAACATAATTAAGGTCGACCTATATATATATACATACTCCAGAACATACCTCTAACATTTGATTAAAAAGTTAATTACTTGCTAATATTTTTGACATCTGCTTAATTTCAGGCAGTTATATACTCGGGAAATGTTTTGGCATTGTACATGACAAAACCCATGGGTTTCAAGTACAAGAGTGGAATGTACATCTTCGTCAAGTGCCCCAACATCTCCAGCTTCGAATGGTACAACCAACGTGTCTTTTTCACCTGTACTTAGATATAAATAGTAAAAAAAAAAAAACTGGCAAATTAAGACTGTTGTTTCTGATTTTGATTTGTACGTTGCAACTGAGACTATATATATGTGCAGGCACCCATTCTCAATAACATCAGCACCGGATGACGATTACTTAAGCGTCCACATAAGAACCCTAGGCGACTGGACGAGGGAGATGAAGAGCATATTCGCCAAAGTTTGTGAACCTCCACAGCAAGCCAAACCTAGAGCAATGAACTTGATGAGAATGGAGACCAGAACTGTGTCCGACTCCAACTACGAGGAAATACAAAAGACGTACGTAGGTTTAAACTACCAAACTTGATGCTCCCTAAAATTGTTGAAGCCGTAAGAGAGAGAAAAACAAGTAAATGAAATTAAGTTGTTTTTTGTTTGGTGGTGGGTATAGGTTCCCGACGATCCTGGTGAAAGGACCATTCGGGGCCCCGGCCCAAAACTACAAGAAGTTCGACATATTGCTGCTGGTAGGGTTAGGGATTGGCGCCACTCCTTTTATCAGCATCATAAAGGATCTTCTCAACGCGCTTAGACCGATGAGGCCAGTAAGTTATTGAACTAATGATCAAGTAGCAACTCTATTTTGTGGTAATAAATATTGTTGCTATTGTACGTATATGCATGGTTGCATGCAATGCAGTGAAAATCGCGTTTTAAAACTTCAAATATTTACTGTTTTACCTTAAATGGTCATAAAAAACGCTTCTCCGTAGAATCGTGCTTTTCCCCTTATAAGTGTAGTCAAAATCTACGCTTTAAACGCTTTCGGTTTTACGCTTCTGGTTAGAATCACGCTTTTTGACTGCATTGGCGTTGTACGTACGCAGGGACAATTCTCCGTGGAGCAAGCGTCCAGGAAATGCCCAGAGAGAGCCTACTTCTATTGGGTGACCAGAGAACAGGCGTCGTTTGAATGGTTCAAGGGTGTCATGGACGACATTGCAGAGTACGATCGCAATGTGGGGTTTTTTTTCCAAACTTTACCCTCTCCTTAATTTAACTCCTCAGTAGTACCAAATATGGATCGAGTTACTACTACGTTGTTCTTTGATTTGCGAAGATTAACAACTAAAATCCAACAGCTGAGCAAGTGATAATAATGCATGCAGCATATAATTGAGATGCACAATTACTTAACCAGCGTGTACGAGGAAGGCGACGCCAGGTCGGCACTGATCGCCATGGTCCAGAAGCTTCAGCATGCCAAGAACGGTGTTGATATTGTCTCCCAGAGTCGAGTACGTACCTCATTTTTTTTTTTTTTTTTTTTGCCCATAGGAAGTGTCAATTTAATCTAGCTATATTACCAATAAGTGGACGGGCTTGTTTATATGGCTACGTACAGATAAGAACACATTTTTCAAGACCTAACTGGAAAAGGGTTTTCTCGGAGTTGGAGAAGGCACATCCATCTTCTCATATAGGTATTGTACTTAACAGTTTTTGTTTTGTTCTTGGATTTAGGGTTTTGGGTGTCTTTTCTTTCTTTCTTTCCTTCTTAAGTTTGCGTTGTTAATTCAAAATGCAGGGGTGTTCTATTGCGGGAGTGTGGCCCTGGTGAAGACATTGAGGGAGCTTTGCCAGGACTTCAGCCTGAATTCAACGACCCGCTTCCATTTCCATAAGGAGAACTTTTGAAGAACAAGACATATATAGTAAAGTGGTCTGTGGATGAGAGTTCTTCGTGTAATTCACTGTGGTAAAATAGACACTTCTAATTAGTAATACTTTGTTTATCTAGAGGGAATTTAGGGAAAAAAATTGGGCTAAGTTTAGAGAGTCTGATTGTGAATGTTGTATATTCAATAGGGTAGTCATTTGGTACTTAAGTGAAGAACAAGATAAAAGGATGATTTCTTTGTTCTAGGAATTAGGATATGAATCTTTCTATTGGTTAAATAAAATATTTTATTAAGTTCATACCTGCCCCATAAAACAAGGGTGCCTCTCACACTAACCATCAAAGGAAAAGTAAATTGCTTTTGTTAAAGGATACATAAAACACTAGAACTCACAATACTAACATCTGTAAGGCAGGAACTGAGTTTTTAATGGTGTGAATGGGAATAAAAGGGAAACGAGCCAAGAGAAGTTTTGAAAGTACCACATTGGTGAGATGTTGGAAGGCGCGACCTGAATTCGATAAATTTGATTTAATATGTTGGTAATAGGTTAAATAGGTTTGTGTAACCAACTGGACCATATTGAACCTATTTGAACCTAATCAAACCAAAATGATGTTCGGTTGGAATAACTCAGTCAGTAAATATCATGATATGAACTGATGTAATGGTTGGGGTATAACTAATCAGCGACAAGTAATATATGTAGCTATCTGCCTCTATAGAGCTATAACCAATAGAGTATTTGAGACAAATATTTTATGTGCCTCTAAAGATGTATAGAGACAAATAAACGACATCTAGAGGCAAATTTCATCTGTTGCTATGGATAGGTTTTCTTGTAGTGTCTGATAACATTGATTTTAGCCTATGTTTTTAAGGCCAAACAGAAAGATAGATGAATCCATACACATGCTTTGTTTTTTTTATCAATCCATACACATGGTTCAATTCTTGCCTCCTTTTCAATACAAATATATTGTGGTTAGAAAATCATTGAGGCGTGTGCTCGCAAATGAGCAAGCGACACTCCAAAGTGCATGAATCGAGCGTTAATGGTCGTAGGTGGCTCCAATCGACCCCCCAAGGGTTGTTCTTTGTCACTAACTCTCTCATTTGCTCTCTAGCTAGGTTCATTCTTTGAAAGTGAAAATCGAATCCCCTCTCTTTGCTCGAGTCTGTCCTTTTGTTTCACTATAGATTCGTGAGTTACAGTCTAAGTCACGACCATAACTTGCCTAATCTGCTCATGACTCTCTAAAACTTGTCATCCTACAATCTGCAAACCAAAAGTTACAGTTAAATTCTAGGAGTCACAAGCATGACCGTGACTTGAAGGGTCCATGGGTGACTTGCATTTGTTGTTGATGTTTCCCCGTCTTTGAGTCACGATCTGGCAGGGGATGTCACGGCTCGCTCGATTTAAGAAGTCACGGTTATGGTCGTGACTCTCATGCCTTGATCGTACTCCTCGATTTGATCAACGATTCTTGATCCGTCTCTGCTCCATTTGATCCAAGAGTTTCCCCATAGGCTTCTTTCATGAACTAGGCCCTGAAATATCATAAATAAACACATCCTAGCATAAAATCAGCCTTTAGCTGCAACAAATCTATCCCAAAATATTTAAGAGTGAGGAGGAAAACATGTGCAAATATCGTGTTGTCAAGTGTATTCTTTCCCCCTTGGATTTGAGTGGGGCCAGATATAAGAGGCACGATTAAAAAATATTTTATTTTCCTACTAGTATTAAGCCGCTTGTATCTTCTTTATTTTAATTCAGATTTTATTACTTTTTATGTAGATGGGACGTGTTCACTGTGATTACAAAATGATATATATTTTTTGTATATTGTGAAAGAAATTTATGCTAGCTATCGCCACTCGTTACCACCCTGGTAGCACTTGATACCACTATGTAGAGAGCACTTCTACTATACTTTAAAGTACAACTTGAAGTTGTGCTATAACGTTAAAAGTAAATGAAAGTTTTACCATAAGGGAATTTGACTTTTATGTTATGGTACAATTTGAAGTTGTAGTATAACATAAAGGTACAACTTTAGTTTGTACCATAAGGGATTTTACAAAAGAGTATAGGTACAATATGAAGTTGTACCATAACGTTAAAAGAACAACTTCAAGTTGTACCATAAATGAAAAAACTAAAATAATAATGATTTAAAGCAATGATTAAAATACCGTACCGTACCGACGGTTCGGCCTGAAAACCTCATACCGGAAGCAAAACTTGTAAGCTGTATTTAGCGCTATAATACGGTTGAACCATGGTTAAACCACGGTTTTAGCATAAAATACTCTATCGCTGACTTTTTCGATATGACCGTGGTACGATATTTCAATCCTTACTTTAAAGCATTGTAAAATTCCTCTTATGTATGACCTTCATTTTAACTGAAATCTTCAACATTTTTACACAAAAGGAACTAGTTTATCTTGATCTATTGTGATCTACAAATTTCTGGGAAACACTTTATATGACCTAAATACCACCCTGGGATGACTTGGTAACTAGTGCTAGACAATGGTGATATGTGATAAATGGTTATTAACATATTTATAGTGTCATGTATACAACCATTTTATACTATTATATATATACCACCATGATACACTTTCCTACCATCATGGTATATAAATGTGCTACAAAACATTAGGGGTGGGAAACAATCCGATCCAGTTTAAATTGGACCGGATTAACGCGGTTTTTTAAAACCGTTTTGGCAAATACCACAACCGGAGACAGGATTGGATGGCATACGGTTTCAACCGTGACCGGATTGGATCCGATCCTGTTTTAAACCGAAACCTGGTCTGGCATTAATCCCCTCCCAAAACGTTGTCGTTCGAAGAAAAATTGGAAAATAATAGAATAAAATAAATGAAAATGAGAAGAGGTATCTCAGATCTCTCTCTACCGTCCCTAACCCCTATCTTTCTCAATCTCTCTCTATTCTGGAAATCAAAAAGTTCTACTCTCCTCTTCTTTCTCGATCTTTCTTCCATCTGCCTTTTCTCCTCCCTGGAATCCCTCCCCTGTTGCATGCAAACAAACATTCAATTATCCGAAGAAAAAAGTCGGCTACAACCCTGTTTCTGCCTAGTGGTCCTCTAAATCGATCCCTCAGATTGGAGAATTTAGAGGCGCGAATCCAGCGGTGTAGTGGTGGAGATCTTCACAGGCATCGTTGTCGTCGTTCACAGGGGATTCAGAGAGCTCTTTGCCTCCTTCATCCCCGTCACGCGCAGGGGATACGAAGAACTCCTTGCCTCCTTCGTCGCCGTCGTTGTCTCTCGGAAAGAGCTCGATGAACTTCATCGGCGTTCGTCGCCGAGTGCTGCGCAGAGGGAAATGGGAGTGATTAAGGAGATTGAGAAGGGATTTGGGTAGTTGGAGAGGATTGGTGAAATTGAGAAGAGATTTGGGTAGTTGGAGAGGATTGGGGAGATTGAGAAGGGAAGGATTAGAGGGGATTGATGGAGGTGGGGATAGTGGCTGCGCAATATTAGGGTTAGTGTGTTGAGGATGGGGTAGCAGGTGCATTTAGGGTTGGGCTAAGGTCGGTTGTGGCCTGGGGTTGGTGGGGGAGCTTGGGTAGTGGGCTTTAGTAGGTATTAGGCAAGCTGGGCTTGTTAGTATATATTTTATTTTTTACAACCCGGTTTTTTCGGTTTTAACCGGATCGGACCGGCCATACGAAGACTAAAACTGTAAACTGGATTGGGTAAATGCGTATCCGGTTTTCGGTTGCAACCGGCACGGTTTTAACCGCCCGGTTTCCGGTTTGACCGGAAAATCGAGACTGGATTCCTAGCGCTGCCAAACATTACCACCATGCTACAAACGAGTAATATATGCCTTAATTTTTTGTTAAAAAATTATATCAAAGTGGATATTATTTTGAAGAGCATGATTAAAAATAAAGAGATATGCGAACAAGAGTTTGGCCTAGTGGTAATATCACTAGGAGCGTAACCAGGATTTTCATCTAAGGTAGATCCACTTAAAAAAAACATACATGATAAAATAGCTTTTGTTAACTTTTTATTTTATTATTATTCATGATATAATTTTATAATTGAAATTTTTTGGTAAATTAAAATACATTAATAGTCGAAACTATCAAGACTACTACTCTCTGTATACCAAACAATTATTCATGATTTAGTTAGTCGTTCGTTTTCGAATGATCTTCTTTGTCAAGAACCATTTAGTATCTATAACTCGAGTTATTGCGCGAGTTTCAATTATGCATCTTATCTTATCCCATCTACTTACACACTCACTCATTATAAATCCAAGTTACATAATAATACTAGCATGAAAAGGATTTCTGGTGGATGGACTACCAAGTCCAAGAGAGAGATGGTGAGTTCCGTACGACATTCGCTCCCGGAATTTGTCATCATCTGCTTTTGATCAGCGATATTCCCGTTTCCACCGCCGGATGTCTTTGTTGCGTTTCTTCTAAAACAAAATGAATAAATTGAATCGACGTCTATCCACTCCAGGCCGAGCTCGTAAAGATGAAACCTATGCAATCAATCAATGCCCCCTTCCACCTCTCAACCTTCCGGCCTCCACAAATTTATAAGGGGTTCGAAAACCAGTCAGCTAATAATGCGCTTCTGCTGCCACACTAAACATATTTAGAGATTTATTAATTGTTAAATTATGATGACAGCTGATCCACTTAGGCGGCTCTCGTCCACGGCCACGGCCGTCGCAGCTGTATTCCTGACGGTGGCGGTATGGGCAGAGTGCGGCGGCGGAGGAGCGGTTACCCTGGAAGTCAGCAACCAGAGGATCTTGCCGGAGAACTACCTCTACATCTGGTGCTCCGATGGCGTGGAGCGAGAGAAGGGCCAAAAAATACCGCCGAAGAAGGTCCTTCAGATCCAGGTTGCCAGCGGTGGTGCCTGGAAGGGCGGCCAGCAGCTGCCGTATATTTGCACGGGGACATACACCAAGTTCTACAGGATGGATGCGGCGCCGTATTGCATCTACAGTTCTCGTACTGCTGCTGGCGGCGATGTCCGGGTGATGGCTAATGAGACCAGCTTCTATCGCTGGAATGGGGAGAAGCGAGCTTGGGATGTAATCCGGCCGTCGCTTCCTTGATCCAATCCAACAACCTATTGGGCTTCTTGTCAATGCTTCTTTTTGGGTTTGTTATTTTTTGTTTTGGGCCAGTGCTTGGGTGCCATTGTTCATGCAGCAATAAAGGTATAGGATATACCTTTATTTAAATTTTTTTTTTTTATTGTCAAAAAAATAAAGGTATATCCTAAAGCTTTATCCAAAGTGGGTATTGTCATACATTGGAACCACAAAGCTTTGAAGGTAGGTGGGTGTGGAATTTTAAAAAGAATTGAGATTTTTTATGTTAAATCATACTATCATGAGCTCCATTCATCTTCTAAGCTTGATCATCTGGGTAGTAGAGAGAAGGAGAAGGAATCGAAATGGATGTGGAATTTTTCTTTGCCACAAAGCTTCAAGTTTTTCACATGACGTTGCGAGAAAACGCGCGTGCTGCAAAGGGAAATATGAATATTTTTTTTTTTAATGCTCACAAAGAAAACAGTTGTTGTGGTCTTGTGGAGCTGCTCCACAAATTATTAATGATATCTTTTTCAGGTGAAACCAATTATAGACACTATGGAATGATTTTTCAACGTGAACTCTTCTTCCACAGTCCAGTATTTATTTCATAATAAAATACGATAATAATTGAAAAATTCAAATAAAAATTTAATTAGAAATTATTAAAAATTTATTCATAAAGTTCGCAATGTCATATTTACAATGAACCGCAACGACTTTTCATCTTTTAAATTGTTAATAGGTGGGGTAGTTTTTGCTTTCTTTGGGAAAAATCTCTCCATAAGACCATAAGGGTGCGTTTGGATAAGTGTATTTTAAATGTAAGGTATTTGAAATACTAGCATTTGAAATGGATGTATTTGAAGTATTAGCATTTGAAATACATGTAATTCAAATTCATTGTTTGGATACTCATTTGTAATTTGTTTGTATTTTTGTATTTATGATTTTCAATTTCAATTTTTAATTTTCTGGTAACTTACTACAAATTTTGGTAAATTACAGTTTGGTACCCAAAATTATTTTTTCTTACAATTTAGTACCTAAACTTTTAAAATTTTACAAAAAGGTCCTGAAATTTTGATGGTAAAATTACATTTTGGTACCTTTATATGTTTTGCCTCACACTATAGTACCTAAACTTTTCATATTTTACAAATAGGTCCATTCTTTTGTTATGAGGTATTTCAAATCACTAGTTGTTGAAATGTATTTGAAGTTGACAAAAAATACACTAGACATGTATTTGGAAATCACCCCATGAATTTGACAAAAATCCAAATACCAAATGTAATTAATATCCAAACACATGATTTGGTATTTGAAAATCCAAATCACAAATACCAAATCCAAATCCTTGTATCCAAACGCACCCTAACTGAATTCATATTTCAGAGTACAAAATAAGTTATCTTACAAACAAATCTATTCAATTCATTCATGAATTACAAATTGACAAGTAAATTTTGGGTAAAATGGGAAAAGAAGATAAACCCCCAAATTTTGCAATTTAGGGTTCATAACAACAAATTACTTACATTTGGTCGGCTAAAAGGAGTGCTCAACTGGGCGGCTACAAGAAATGGTTGTCGTCCGCTAGTGAAGGGATGTCCGTGAGCTGTTGCAGGCTGTCGTTCTGACTTCGGTATCAACTCGCAACGCATGTAGGTCTGGGTGTTTAGGCGTCTGCGGGAGGAATAAAGCATGGTTCAAGAAACCATACCGGACATTAGGGGTGGACAAACGATTCGATAAACCCGAACGGAACCAAAATCGAATTAAACCGAACCGAAACCAAATTAATGCTATTTGGTTCGGAATTCGGAAGGAAAATATGGATAGTTCGGAATTCAGGGTTCTTTCAACCGAACCGAATTTCCGACCGAAAACCCGAAATACTATAATTGCAAGCTCTAAATGGTGAATTTTATGTTTGTAGTTGTTTTTAGACTTAGATATTTGAAATGTTTTATGATTTATGTGTTGAAAATTATCATTTTATCATTGATGATCCATATAATTGCATATTTATTGTTATATTAGGGATGAAAAATAATTTAAAAGTGAGAAAATACAAGTAGTTTCACAAATTCGGTTTTGTGTGAAAAACCGAACCGAATTATAATTCGGTTTAAACCGATCGAACCAAATTATAATTCGGTTCGGATCCGGTTTGAGGTTTGGGAGAATTCGGGGACCCGGTATTCATAATTTCGGTTCGATCGAAACCGAACCAACCAAATGCCCACGCCTACCAGACATCATACCGGATTTCTTTCTGGTAGGGTATTTTGTGATACGATCGTGGTTCCACCGTTTCGTACCGGAAAATATCATTTTCGTAATAATAAAATATATTTTTTGTCAAAAAACCGTGTCGGCAAAATTAGTTACCGTTTCGGTGTAATAACGGATTGTATCGGAATATACCAGACAATAAATACAACTAATTAGCAAATTAATAGACAATTTTGAAAATAATATTTTTTTTTAAAACTTCCCCATCATTTATCATCTTCCTTGGTTACTCCTCCCGTGCGCAGCTTTTCTCATTTTCCATTCTTCCTCCTCTTTCTCTCCCTCACACACCCAAACAAAAATCAATAAGAATCAATTTACCATTTCCTCTTTCCCCGTCTACTCTGATCGAAGCATGAATGGTAGAATGACGGGCACAACAGGCTGGAGAGCCATCTTGAAGGGCCGGACGGAGAAGGCAGATTTAGAGGAGATGAAAACGCCGCTCAATTGCGAAGTGAGGGAGCTAAGGTCTGAAAACGACGGAATTGGAGAAGGAAGAAGAGGGCAGTGGTGGCCTAGGGAAGCGGTCGTTCTAGCTGGAGAGGCAGTATTGAACCGAATGTTTGGAACCACCGTCGCAGCCGCATGCAAGCTTTCTTCTTATCCTTCTCCTGAAATCAGCAGCTTGCCCTGATCCTCTAAAATTTGCGTCGGAGTCCAAGGAAGCCCCCCTTTTCCTTCGCTGTCGATGGACATTTGGCCGGACCCTTGGTCAATTCATAGATCTTATTGAAGCCTCCCTTTCTCCTTCGCCGACAACAATGAGTTCGTCGAATTCTCAGTCAAAGCCTCCCTTTATCCTCTACCGGCCGGTCGGATCAATACCAGTCAATATTTTGGGGTTTTGCGATTCAGACTATAAAACCGGCCGACACTCTATATCGGAGCATTTGGCTGTGTCATTTCGAATTTGGTGTGGTTTCCAATTTTACCTGTTTAACTGGCCGCTCCGATCTGGTTTCCTGGACCATGGAATAAAGAGGAATGATGAGATCGTGGATTAAAGGGGTATAATATTTTTTTTGAAACTTCCCCATCATTTTTCATCTTCCTTGGCTACTCCTCCTCTGTGCTTGCAGCTTTTCCCCATCTTTTCTCATTTTCCATTCTTCCTCCTCTCTCTCTCCCTCACACACCCAAACAAAAATCAATCAGAATCAATTTACCATTTCCTCTTTCCCCATCTACTCAGACCGAAGCACAAATGGTAGAATAACGGGCGACAACGGGCTGGAGAGCCATCTAGAAGGGCCGGACGGAGAAGGCATATTTAGAGGAGATGAAAACGCCGCTCAATTGCAAAGCGAGGGAGCTAAGGTCTGAAACGGCAAAAAAATTGGAGAAGGAAGAAGAGGGCAGCTTTGGGCTAGGGAAGCGGTCGTTGTAGCTGGAGAGGCAGTACTGAACCGGGTGTCCGGAATCACCGTCGCAGCCGCATGCAAGCTTTCTTCTTGTCCTTCTCCTGAAATCAACGGCTTGCCCTATTCCTCTGAAATTTGCGTGAGAGTCCAAGGAAGCCCCCCTTTTCCTTCGCTGTCGATGGGCATTTGGCCGGACCCTTGATCAATTCATAGATGTTATTGAAGCCTCCCTTTCTCCTTCGCCGACAACAAGGAGTTCGTCGGATTCTCAGTCAAAGCCTCCCTTTATCCTCTACCGGCCGGTCGGATCAATACCAATCGATATTTAACGGTTTTGCGATTCAGAATATAAAACCGGTCGTCACTCTATATCGGAGCATTTGGCTGTGCCGTTTCGGATTTGGTATGGTTTCGGATTTTACCGGTTCAACTGGCCGGTCCGATCCGGTTTCCTGAACCATGGAATAAAGAGACATGATGAGATTGGGGAATAAAGGAGTATAATTGTGGTGGGCCTTGGTGGTTTTTTTCTTCTTTCTTAATTAAAGGAACATGCCCAACACACTATATATATTGGTATGGCCTGTGGGTTTATTTTTTTAATAGCAATTGATAGGATTAAGATGTTATTTTAGAAAAATTAAAAAGAATTATTGTTAATAAAAATTTAAGATTGTTTCATTTAAATAATAAAATTCTTCCAGTCTAATGAAGGTGTGTCGACTATAATAAATTGAAGGGTTGTAGGAAGTGTCGAACTAAAAAATTTTGTACATAAAATATGTCGGACAACACACTCTCAATTGCCTTAGGTCCGTCCCTGGACACAAAAAGATTTGTTAACCGAGTTCGACCTATTGCTTACGTCTCGACTCAAATGTGGCACCCTTTAAGACTTAATGTCTAGATTTTGATCCTATTTCAAGCTAACTCCAAATTGAGTCACTTTGTGTGAAAAATTCAAACTCTTGACAAGAATAGAGCAAAATTCTTTTTCTCTCTTACTCACAAGCACTCACGCTATAGAGAGAAACTACACTAGCTCACAATCACTCAAGCAATTCATATCACTTCTCACACCTTTTACTATTGACAGAGTGTTTGCTCTTACTTTATGTAGGATTGCTCTGTCACATTCGATAAGAATGATTTAGGACGATTTATTTCTGACTTCCCTTTTCAAATGATGTGTGCAGAAAATGAAAGTTTTTCCCCAACATGTATCCCTTTAAAAAGAATAAAAGAACATAGCAAAACAATTGGCAATGTGTTTTGTATCACTCTTTCGACGTTGTTCATTTTCATGCTAGTATGATTTTTCCTTTCTTGGAATGGAATCACATTCAACCATAGAGAGAAACGATGGCAGATCATTATTGACTTTTAGTCAATCCAAATTAGGAACAAGTTGGGGAATGAGTTGACTAGACAGGTATTGCGGAATGAGCTGACTAGAAGAGTTTCGGATGAGTTTCTGTTTTGACAGTGCTATGCCCACCACGACATTGTGAGTTGTGACTACAGAGAAATAGCAATTAGCGCCCAAAAAGTCTACTCTACATCACCATACATAGGGATCGAGTCACAGCATGCAGCAA